TTGGCTGCCTTTCTTTTTGAAGTAAAATAGTTCTTTTTGAAGTTTGAAGTTTCCTTTAAGATGGCGAATTCATGTGAAAATTTTTAAATGACAGAATAACGACAGTATTGCTGTTTTATATTAATTGGGTTATTTCGTTTGCAACGTTGAATCTATTCTTTACATAGTTGTTCATTTACTTTAGGGAACATATGGAAAATTATAGATTTTTTTTCTGTGTTTCTATCAGAATTTTTGCAAGTTGCAATCGAGCAAACTGGCATTTCGTTAATAATTTTAAATTTTTGTAATTCACTTCAAAAAACTGAGGAAAATCATTAATGAAAACAACGAATGTCTCGGAATATGTCACAAAGAGGAATGTTCCAATATTAGTCAGAGCTTGTTAGACCGAAAGCTCTAATATTAGTTAGTGCTAGTTAGACTGAACGCTCCGTTCTTGAAGTAAAAGAGCAAGCATTAACAGCCGTGACGTCACAGGAGAAAATCGGATGTTTGGCGCGTCGAGAGCTTCTTACAAGGAGTGAACCAGTCCTTCTATTCTCCCTATAGCCCTGTGTCTAAACTATCACCGTACATCTAATGTGTGTAAACTATCACCGTAGAGTTTTTTGTTCAATTAAATAAGCTATTGGTTAAAAAGATGCTAAATCAAAAGTTACTATTAAAACACGCAATTCACATATCCATTGAAATCGTAGCATTCATTCATAGCATAGCGCATTATTTCTTAGGATAGCAATCCTCTTATGAAACATTTGAATTTTCTTTTCCACTATAAATATTTTGTTTTTATTTGCTAATTAATTACCACGTATTTTGTCATACAACTGCACATAATAGTGTAACATAATTTAGCCAATCTTCCAAATTTACAGAAAAATTTCCATTTATGAATAGCAGAAATATTATTTTGATCATCACTAATCCCACGTCCATACTAACCCTCTTTTCATCAGCATTAATTTTCGTTTATTTATCAACGATAATTTAATAAACTACACTGAATCTCATTAGTTTTATCAGTGTTTGCGAACTAAAAAACAAACTAAATAAAATTATTATACGCACTTTATAAATTTCCAATATAGCTTATAAACTATTCAACAGAAAAACAAATATTAATTTAAGTAATGGATAATACTTTTACAATAATTATAAATGCTTTGCGTGTGTACTAAGCAATACTAATTCATCAAATAAAACTTTAATATAGTATCTTCTCTTTACAAAATTATCTTTTCTGAATTCTATTGGTATAATTGCAACTTATTAATATTTCATAACTGTAAAAAAATGTCAGAACACACTATCAAAAGTGAAGTTTCTTTTTTTATGTTGTATAATGCACAGAATTTTTCCGCTTTTTTTTACTACCATTAGTGAAATTATACGCGGTATATAAATAATAAAGCTAAATGCACGTCAGAATCACTAATCAATGGCGGCCATTGGTTTTGCTCATATTTGATAGATAACAGAAAGCTTAGTTCTCTTTTTCTCCTGGTGGACACGATTTTCAAAATAAGAAATTAATTGAAAAAAAATCGCACGAGATGTAATATTAAATAAACTATAAATGACATATGAATTACAAGAAATTAATATGATAGATTTTAAATCTTACTCATAAAAAACTATCCAAAGGCTCATTTAATCCCTAGTTCCATTCTCCATAATTTGAATCCTTTTAAAAATAAATGAAAGCTTTTATTGAGTATCCGAAATATGATAATAGAAATCTATGGAGCCGTGGTGGCTCAGGGGATAGAGCGCTCGCCTCCCAATGAGGTGAACCGGGTTCGAATCCCGGCAATGGCTGGTTGATTCGAATTTCGCCCCCGACTCGCACCGACCACAGTGCTGACGTGAAATATCCTCAGTGGTAGACGGATCATGGATTGGAGTCCTCTTGCAGTCAGGCTAACCGTCTGAGGTTTTCGTGGTTTTCCTTTCCATGAAACGCAAATGTGGGTTAGTTCCTTCAAAAAGTCCTCCACTAAGGCAAAATTTCTCCCAATACTTGATCCAGGAGTTCTCTTGTCTCCCCGATTGGGTTTAAATTTATAAGGGTACGGAGTTGAACATTGGTAGCCGTAAACTGAAAATTCGATCGACTGTCCAACAACGGTTATAAAATAAAATAAAATAGAAATCTATGAACCATGGTGTTTCAGGGGATAGAGTGCTCGTCTTCCAATAGCTGGTTGGGTAATTCGATATCAATGGATGGTTTTGATTCGATAGCAATAGCTGGTTGATTGATTTGATAGCAATGGCTGGTTGGTTGATTCGAATTCCGCTCCAGGCTTCCTCCGATCACAGTGTTGACGTAAAATATCCTCAGCGGTAGACGGATCATGGGTTAGAGTCCTCTTACCGTTAGGCTAACCATGGTTTTTTCTTCTTGGTTTTCTTCCCATGTAACGTAAATGCAGGTTAATTCCATCAAAAAGTCCTATACGAAGGCAAATTTTCTCCATACTTGATCCAGGAGTTCTCTTGTCTCCCGGATTGGGTTTAAATTTACAAGGGTACGGAGTTAAACATTGGTAGTTGTTAACTAAAAATTCAGTCTGCTGTTCAACGACGGTTATAAAATAAAATGTCGAAATCTATAATCATATTTTATTGACCATGAAAAAATGACTCCAATACATGGAAGCCTTAATCCAAAAAATATTAGAAACTGGTAAGAAAAGGTGCGGAGAAAACGAAATGTTTTAACGACCAAAAACTTTTTTGAACTGAACATCTGCATTACAATTAACTAACTGAATTCCTAAACTTTACGTGAAATCAAATCTTGTAAAATTCAGGATAATTTCGAAAATTAGTTATCACTTTTTATAAATATTTCTAGACCTAGGCCAAACTGCAACAGTTTTATGTAAAGATATAGTGTCTTCAAATCGACAAAATCTTTTTCTCCTGTTCTCAATAACATGAGTCCAGCTCGCTACTTTTTTTTTTAAATGGCGGGCACTTGGAACTATTGTTCATTGGCCTCAGAAAGTGCCAGAACTGCTACCCAGTGGGCACCTGTGGCGAAGCCACGGCGGTGGAGCAGCGTCGCCCACGTCACACAACCACAAACCCGTTTATAGGGCGGGTCACATTCACACAATCACACACAAAGGAGAAAGGACATAGAACACAAAGAGAGAGAAAGAAACATCCATGCCTAGAGTGGGATTCGAACCCACAGATACTGGCTCCGCAGTCAGGCACGCTAACCGCTCGGCCACCTGGCCGGCGTCCAGCACGCTACCAACCAGACTATCACGGCTTTCACTTTTTGTCAATCACATTTAGTCAGCTTGGTCAGGTTACGTTATTCTGCTATGTTGGGAGAAGTTTCGATAATAAAATTTTCTCTTTCCGAGGTTGATAGGATTCCCAGGTCTAAACGCACCATCGTATGATTATTGTACTTTTATATATTTTAGGTGAAGTAAAATTTATGAATCCAAAAATAAATAGAATGTATAAATTTTACTACCACTTTAAGTTCAAAAAGGAAATTTTGTACTTCTAACGTAAAAGTAGGCAGTTTTGCAATTGGTAGGAAAATAACGAATCAAAATTGCAGGTTGAACAATTCTTTTCTGCCTTATCTTAACCCATTCGGGACGGGAAAGTCATAAATATATTCATAAGCAGGGGTGAAAGCGAGACGGAAAAGAGAAAAGGCTGGTAGTAAAACCATTTCAGTTATTACTAGATTTCGGGTGGAGTTTACTTATTCTTTTTTTAAACTATTCAACAAAATTTATTTATCTTGAAAAAGAAGCAGTTTTATATATTTGTTAAAATCTTCAAGAAATCTTGATAGTTACAGATATTTTATTTTTCTCGGAAAAAATGCTATAATAAAATGTCTTTTGTACCAGTTTTTGATCTTTTTCGTCTTGCTTTATAAGGGCTTTCAGCCGTGTTCGTAAGGGATCAGTATCAGGATGGTAAAAAATAAAAAGTGGTAGCTTAAGCTTGGTCATAGCAAATTTGACAGACTTATTTTTGCTTTCACTTTAAATCAAACACATCCAATCCACGTGTGTTAAAAGTGTAATTATACAATTTTTAATTCGTTTTTTTAATTAATTTTTAATAACTAAGTAGTGGTGAATTAAATAAAGCAAACTATCATTACAAATAAACTGCTAAAGAACTACTTTGGTTACCAGTTTTATTTTTTACCCTGATTAGTACGGTTTTATGCCGTCACGTATTTGTCACAGTCGGCGTGAAAGGGTTAAGCACATTAATGCATGTTAAAAAAGTATTTATAAGGGTATCACGATTAAGATATCCATCATATGATTTTAGTGCGTATCATATGAATTTTCATATGAATTTTCAGGCTGAGGAGTTACAATCTATTTATTGGTCAACCCCTCAGGGTGTTGACTTAGTTCGGATAAGTGTCAGGTACTTTTTCAGGTTCAGAAATAATTCTATGACAATAAGTTGTTTCTATGATATTTATTTTTTTCTCCAATTAGTATATGACGCCATTTGAGCAGATTACTTGGATTACGTAATATATTTTACATTCGGAGCAGTTTAGTCGAGTCCGGTATTATACTCTACGTTTAAACTGCGCGCTTGTTCATGGCGTGTTAACAACGGCAGGTTAAAGCGCATTTTTTTAAAATTTTTCTTAAAATTAATTTAAATTTTTGAGGCATACAAAGTGCAAATAAAAGAAAGAACTATGAAAGAATGACAGAAAAGATGAAAAATGAATATAAATATAGAATAATGAAGAAAAAAAATGAAAATAAATAAAATTAAGTATCTGCTTGCTTTCTTTGAAATATTTTGGGAGGACATTAAATGCAATTTAAAAGGAATCCATTCAAATTGTGCGACACTTTAAAATATTAAGAATTATTTTATTCTTACGACCTTTGAAAAGTCAAGATACACTAATATAATCTTAACATATATTGATGCATTTAATGTAAACAAAATTATTAAATTCCAAATGATGATACCTTCATGCTCATCGTAGACTAAAGAAAAGCTCCTCCAACCCCATATCTTAACAAGGTCTACGTAGGCTTGGCTTAGAACTGAAGGTCGGGGGAATAAATTAATGGACATATCAGCTCTTTGTAATTGAAAATCCCATCTAGTTTCTACGTGGGGAATGTCGATGGCATCACAGATTGATTGCACATGCATGCTGGTGACATCAGATTGAGGACCAAAGATTCCAGCAATCCCAGTTTCCAGCAACGAGCATACTGAAAAAAAAAATTATATAATTAAATCATTTAAAAAAGGATTAAAACATGTTTTTTTGATAAATCACTACAGCATATGAACTCCCTATGTCGCAGAATTTTTTATTAAACACAGTTTTTATAGTTTTTTCATTATTTTATATTTACTTGGGTAAAAATAAGTGAAAAATATTATAGTATTTAATATTTTAAGAATTTATGATTAGGAAATACAGCATGGAACACCGTTGTCTTTTTTTTGCGTTATTGGTAAAATCTTCCAAACACACCTTACGTCCAAACAATTTTTCAAATTTGCACTTATTTGTTAATTACTGAATTTTCTCTAAGTTGCAAAATCAATTATTAATGCATTTTTGAATACGATGGAAAAAAAAATTTTTCCCAACTATTTTGTTTTGTTTTGGATTTTATATTCTTGTAGTTATTTAGCAGTGTTCAGAATTATAACAAACCAAATTAATATACCCATTGAAATCCGATTTATTTAACCTCTACAAATCTGATATAATTTAAGCAATCATAGCCGGGAAATTGCTTTAAAAAGGTAATTTTTTTTAAGGTAATTGGTTAAAGGTATCTTTTTAATGTATGATTGCTTCTTTACTAAATAAATTTACTCATTTAAATAATTCAAAAGCTTATGCGATGAGTCACTTTGTTACAGTTAAACCGTATTGAGCCTTTTAAAAAGTTGTTTAAATAAACCGAAAAATTTTTAGTTTGTAGCTTTGCACCTTTTTTTTTAAATATTTTGGTTGAATCTGGAGTAGTTGACATTTCTCTCAATGCATGATTCCTGTATTAATAATTTGATTTATTATAATTTTTACAACCATTAGAATTAAATGATTAAAACGGGCTAGACCAGCTAGTTATCGTATTGTGTTTTAAGTGATGGCAAGTATTTATCTACGCTATAACTTCAATAGGGTCAATACAGCCTGGTTGGAAGGGCGATAGACTCACGTTCCTGAGGACGGGAGTTCGAAACCAGCCGGCACCCCGTGTAGTAAATGTTGACTGGTGCACGTTGTGTCACAAAGTCCTGAATGTGCAAATTATACCTCTTGAGGTACTGAATTGGAGATCCATCGTTCTCTGGGTCGGGTCAAAATTACGATCTGTGGATGAATGAATGGATATATAAATGGATCGGTCCTATTAACGATCTTGTTTTAAAAGCTATACACACTTCATCCGGTGGCCTTAAATTTTTCAAATTCAATTATTTTTGAGTAGTTTATTGAACATCTTCTAAATGATTGAATTAATATTTTGTTTGTTTCTTAAATAGGCTTTTAATAACAAGAAGTACTGGTGTGACGTGTGGATGTGACAGAAGTCAAATTCTTGGCCAGAAATGGTGCCACTGGAAAACAAGCTGTGAACCTACGACTACAACAGCATTACTTCAATAAATATGTTCATGCTCCCCCAACATGTCCTCAATGCAATAAATAATAAAAATCATTAATTGTTTATCATAAAATAATTAGACAGATCGTTCTACTTGTTTGCTGAGTGACTTTGTGCGTGCACAAGTTTTGTTTCGTTGCAATTTTGAAGATGTATCGATTTTTCCGAGCTGTAATTTATGCTTCCTATCAGATATTTTCCTTATGAACTTCTTTTGGTTTAAGCATTACGAGCTGCAGTTTTAGAACATTTAATTAATTTATGGATTTCACGTTCCGATTTTCCAGAGCTTTTAAAAAAACAAATTTTTCGAACTTCCAACTCAGATAATTCCTTTCCGAGAAGCATTGTTAATTTTCGTATGAAAACAAATTTAATTCAAGTTTTCTTTATAAAATAATAGTTTGCGTTTTCTGCTATGCGAAGTTACACTTTACGTACGATTTTAAAGGAAAAAATAAATTGGTTTTTAAACCTTAAACAGTTTTGAAAAAGGAAATAGATTTTCTTATACTTATGGATGGTGTTTTCAATATAAATGTAAACAATAACAATCTCGAGCTCAATACCTGCTTTAGTTCCTGTTAGAAAGTTCGCAACTGCTTACTACAGCTTATTCTGAGAAGCGATATTTTCAAACGGATAATTTTTTTTTAATAAAAGAAATAAATTAGATCATTTCTAAGCTCAAATCTGCCGTATTTCATGAGATATTAATATTATTAAGTAATTCTTGTGAGTTTGAAGTGAAAATTTGTTAAAAAAGGTGACATGGCTGCTAGATTTTGAATAACTCGCTTTTTTGGCAGTCCTGATTTGGCCTCTTTCCATTTGTTTATTACTGTTTGTTCTTGTTGCTGTGCACCATCTTACGTTAGTGTTAGCACCTTTAGTATTGCAGAAACAAGTAATAAATAATCAAATGCCACGTTTGCAAGAATCTCAAAACACAATGATCACGTTGTGAGTCAAATAGCTTTAAAATACACCGGAAACAGTAACCCGGAAGTATAGGCGGTATGGAGCTTGCAGCGTTCCCTAGTGTAGAAAACACCATCCATATAGCACCCGGATTTTAAAAAAAATTTGCTGTGTGAAACTAATTCATTTTCCTCTTTTCATTGATTTGACAAAATATAACTTATCTCAGTTGCTTTACTATTTAAAATTTATTGAGTTTATGCAGTGTACCATAACAATGAGTAATGTTTGGGGTGGTCTTATAATTTTGTGTATATATGCATGTACATGCAATTTAATTCATGTATGTACTTATAAATGATTTGGGACAAAACTAACTTTGTATTCGGTAACATGCTCAGAATTTAAGTAAAGTAGTTAACCGGAGAGTTGTCAAAATTTTGATCTCGCAGCATTCAGAAACATTTATAACTCGAACTATTACTATATACATGGCAAAGTTCAAAAGAACACACTGTTCAGAAAGCTTTGGAATTGTGATTGGTGATTGCAATAAATTCTTTTGAAGCAGTGAGGCAGAAAGGTGCTTTTACAATTTTAATTCAGGTGTCAGTTACAAATTAGATGGCTAAAAAATTGGTGGGAATTTTGATTCTTGATAAATTTAAATCCGCTATATTAAATCCGGAGGTATTGCCCCTGAGCTTCTCAGGTGCACAGCAGTCACATGGCCTCAGAGAAATAGTAAAAATACATGATAATAAATGCGCAAAAATATATACAAGTATTTACAACTATTTATAAAATTTACGGGACAAAATTCCGTCAGATAGAAAAAAGGCGGTTGCCGGGCTATATATTGTATGTTGTCTTTGATGAGCTCAAAATCAAAGTTTTTAAAGTAGTTTCACGTATGACAAGAGAGTGCATCTCTGAAGAAACTTGCACATAGTTCAGCTATGTGTTCATCTATTTTGTTGATTTTTAAATCTTTTCTTAGATCTTTCATTTTCATGGATCTGGGGGCTCCAGTGATGTATCTGAGAAATTTATTTTCAGTACTCTCCAGTTTCTTCTTTTGAGTAGTAGTGATTGTGCTCCATTCAGGGGCTGCGTAGCTGATGATCGGTCGAATGCATTGGAGGTATAGCGTTCGTTTCCTTTTGAGTGCAAGTTTTGAGTTATAGTTTAATATCGGTTTCAGAGCTCTATAGGCGAAGTCGTAATACTTTACGTCAATTTCATTAATTGTAAACGTTAATTTCATTAAAGTGGTAGTAATATAATACGCCATTTGCAGCGAATATATCCAATAAAATGATAAGTTAGGCCTAAATGCTTCAAATTTATATGAAACCATGTCGCATATAGGCACACTGACTTTATACTGAATCATTTATGTTTGTGTTATTCATGGATGGATAACTTACGTTAATTTCATTAAAGTGGTAGTAATACAATGCGCCATTTGTAGCGAATATATCCAATAAAATGATAAGTTAGGCCTAAATGCGACAAATTTATATGAAACCATGTCGCATTTAGGCACACTGACCTTATACTGAATCATTTATGTTTGTGTTATTCATGGATGGATAACTTACGTTAATTTCATTAAAGTGGTAGTAATACAATACGCCATTTGCTGCGAATATATCCAATAAAATGATAAGTTAGGCCTAAATGCGACAAATTTATATGAAACCATGTCGCATTTAGGCACACTGATTTTATACTGAATCATTTATGCTTGTGTTATTCATGGATGGATAACTTACGTTAATTTCATTAAAGTGGTAGTAATACAATACGCCATTTGCAGCGAATATATAAAATAAAATGATAAGTTAGGCCTAAATGCGACAAATTTATATGAAACCAAGTCGCATTTAGGCACACTGACTTTATACTGAATCATTTATGTTTGTGTTATTCATGGATGGATAATTTCTTAGAAAAGCAGGGAGGAAACGAAGTGGTTTTGTTATCACTTTTTTAAACTTGTGTATGGACCACAGAAATTTCAAAAACTTATTGTTACGTGACCTGCTTGCAATGTTTTAGTTGTTTAAAACATGTGCTGAGCTCAAGTTAAGGATTAAAAGAGGCTAAAGGAACGTTACAAATTGAAAGTGAAGTAACAGTCATAAGAATATAATTAAAAAATGGCCATCAGTATTTTTAAAAAAAACTAATTTCAGGGGAACCAACCTGAAATTGATAAAAATGATACATGAAGTAACTAAAATTATGCATCTAAAGAAATAAACTATATGCGTTGCACAAAAAAATGAACAGAACACCCTGAATAACTTCTAATCTAATAATCGGACTATTACTATGTGTATTATGACTCAATCTTAATAGTTCACAGGGGTGACCACATACATGCAATTTAGCTAGTGCACACAATAATTCAAGTTAAGAAACCAGACGCAAAAATACACTTTCTCTGAACAAAAATACCTTTTTTTTAAAGGATTTGGATTTCTGACCCCTAAATATAAGGATTCACAGCATTCTGAGAAACATGGTTAAAATATTTCGGTCTGTGGAATGCTCGAAAGTTTGGACCCATTAATATTAATTTTACTTTTTGCGTATGTCGCTATTACAGAAGAACTTTTAAGAAAAATGAAAACTTTTTGTAAACATTTATA